CGTGCCGCCCGCAGCCCGGCACCGCACTGCGGGCCCGCCCGGGGAGGCCGCGCTCCGTGCGCCTCGGGCGGCGGAAAGTTGCTCGTCCGCCCGGCAACTCGAGCTTTGCCACGGCCCTGGGGGGTTCCCGGAACCCCTGGGAGCTGTGGGGAGGCGGGGTGCGAGGTGCCGTGGTTTGTGCTGCAGACCCGGCTCCTCTGGACCCTGCTTTCCCATCTTCAGCGTTACTGCGCCAGGGTAGGAGAAGAACACGCCTGGGTAAAGATACGGCTTCCCCTCAGCTCGTCCGCCCGGCAACTCGAGCTTTGCCACGGCCCTGGGGGGTTCCCGGAACCCCTGGGAGCTGTGGGGAGGCGGGGTGCGAGGTGCCGTGGTTTGTGCTGCAGACCCGGCTCCTCTGGACCCTGCTTTCCCATCTTCAGCGTTACTGCGCCAGGGTAGGAGAAGAACACGCCTGGGTAAAGATACGGCTTCCCCTCACGGCACTGATTATGTCGTGAGGCTTAATGAAGCAGCACTAAAACCGTGTTTGGGAGGAAAGCTCTGCTGCGGTGGGGAGCCGATGATGTTCAGGGGGAGCAAGGGAGCCGTCTTTGCTTCGGAGGCAGTAGTGCTATCTTAATTTCAGTTTTGTATTGAAAACCGCTGACGCTACTAGGTGAAATCAACAACATGGGTTACTATTTCAGTTAGACATCGCTGACGTTACTTTTTTTAATTGGTAAGAATTCGTGTTCTAGTGAAGCAGATTACTTGAAAATGAACTCTTGCATCTCACTCGAAAGGCGAGGTGTGCAGCCTCTTCAGCAGGGCACTTGCACGCTTGTTCGCTGGTCGGCACTGAACAGCGCAATTTGCTGCGGACCGCTTAAAAACATGAAGTGACAGCTGTCAGCTCAAGATAGGAATGGGTCGTTTTGCCGAGTAACGAAATAGGTAGAGCAGAGCAGCCCGTCAAGATTACAGAAGGAATATCTCAGAAGTGACTCGGTTAACAGAATTCTGCTCTGCGTGCTTTTCTTACCTGACCTTTAAAGATTAAAACCATTAAAAACAAAAAAATTTGAAGTTTTGAGTCAGTCTGTTTGGCAGCTTCCCCGGTTGGTTGGATCCCTTTTGCACAGCCGAAATACATCATGTCACGGGAAGAGAGTGACTCAATTTGAAATATAATCTTATTCTTAAAAGACAGAGTATTTCTCCTGGTTGTAGTCCTCAGCAGACTTGTCTAGTGGTATAGTCATTTCTTTCGTTTTAGAAATAGTTCTTTGTTGACGGATGTAAGGCTTTAGAAATAAAAAGAGGAAATCTGACTAGCGAACTGAAAATGAAGGGAAAGTACGAAGTGGGCTGCATAAAGTGATTTTGAATGTAGGGTGTCTGAGTCATCTGAAGACATTTTTGTCTTGCAGGTACCAAATAATTTTGATCGTTTTGTGGTCCTTTGTTGTATGTATGCTAATTCTAGTGAGATAATACCTGTTAGAAAGGGGTTTCCGTGGCAGGATAAGCTATAGGAAAGAGGTTTTTGCTTTTCATTTGCTTGTTTTAATTGAGGTAATTGGCCAACTTTTTATTTGATCTAGATTTTGAAACATTTGCATTAATAATCTCCTGTACTGTTTAAACCAGAAAGCTCACAAGAGTGGAACAGAATGATGTTTTTCTTGGGAGTTACCTGGTAGTAAGTCCTGAAGAAAATGCACTTCCTCCAAACAATTACTTATGTTTTTCTTGATACGTGATTGCAACCATAAAAAAGAAATATATTATCTGCAGAGGTTCAGGTTCAGCTGGAGCTCTTAAGTCCTTTATTTTCCTTGACTTTAGTCTTTGCAGTGTAAATGATCTCTGACTCAAGAGTGCGATATCAGTCCTGGAGTTTAAGATTAGAAATTCCTTAATGTCCTGAGGCAGGCAGCCATGCCAGTCGTGAGGGATGCACCCTCTAATACTGGTGTCTAAGTGGCTGCTGTTGAATGCTGTTTCTGCAGTACCTGTTTTGATTGCTTTTTCACCACTTCTCCTTCTTAGGTGAGACATCTGTACATTTGTGATTTTCACAAGAACTTCATTCAAAGTGTCCGAAACAAAAGAAAGAGGAAGACAAGTGATGATGGAGGTGACTCTCCTGAGCATGAAACAGATGTCCCGGAGGTTAGTAGGTGCCAAGTGGGTTTACCAATTTTGAGCATGTTGAATTTTGACTTGGATGTTTTCATGTATCAGGAAATACTTAAATTTTAAACTGTAACTCCACTGAAACTGCTATGGAGTTACTCTCATTGTTCAGGAAGACTTTTTTCTGATGTGTAACGTCCTAATTTTCTTCTTCATCCTTGTATGAGTTCTTTGCCCATGTAAAGTTTTCTATAAAAAGAGGTGTGATAAGGTAACTGCACAGCTTCATGTATGTACTGCTTCCAAACAGAGAGCTGTTAAAACAGTATTTGATACTAATTCTTTTATTAGTTATTTTCAGTGATGACTGAGGCCCTGATATGGTTCTTTGTCACCTAGCTTGCATTGTTTTGCAAATACACTAGGTCAGTCTCTCTGTGTTTGGGTATATAATATCCAGGGATATTAAGCTTCTCCAGACCTTCGTGTGTATGGTATTTTTGGCACTATTTAAAACTGCCTTCAAATAACTCGTAACATCTTTTTATTTTCAGGAAATAGGCCTGGGTTGTTTTGTTTTGGTGGGGTTTTTTTGGTTTTTGGTTTTTTTTTTTTTTTTCTTCTGTTCTACAGAACTCTAGAATAATCTTTTCTCTGTGCCATTGTGTTCTGTATTTGCTTTGGTGATGTTTCTGGTACTGTTGACACTGCAAAAAGTTGTGCAGAGGTGATGTTTGTGGAGGAACTGAGCTCTGGCCGCATCAGCAGAGCCCTCTGCTGGAAATACCACCCGTATTGGCAAAAAACATTTTATTTCTGAAAAAAAGCCACCAAGAATCGTTTTGCCAGCAGAGCTGTGTCTTGACTGCAAAGCTGTGTGGAGGTGTTGAAAGAGTAGCAAATTTTTTGTTTGTTTGTTTTTTTAAGGATATCTGACCTTTTGTTGTAGCTGTTTGTGTTTCCACTCTACGAGGTTCTCCATCAAAACTTTCCCATGCAGGCTTTACGTTAGTTGCCAGGATGATTGGGGAAGACCCAGCTGGCATCTAAAAATGTTAGTGCTGTAGAGCATGCAGGGTATTTGGCGGTTAAAAACTGAGGGATGCACGTCACCTAACCAAATAGGGAACTCTGCAGCGTGTCCGTTTTAACGTCATTTTCTTGGTTTTCAGCAGAGATTCCTTTTGTCTTTGAAACATGGCATTTCCCACATGATCTTCATCTTCCTTCCTGTAACCTCCCCCACCACCGCCCTTGCTTTTAAACTGTGCACTTCCCACTTAAGTATTTGAATTTCATTTCTTCTCTGTACTCTGTTTTATGTCACAAGCCATTTGTTCAGTCCCTGCTAAATTGATATTTCATGTGTGAGCTTTTCAAACCTTATGGGAACAAAAGGTTCCCCTTTGCTTGGAGGTTGCAGAGGTGTAATTGAGAGCAGAAATTGGCCAGCAATTCTGTTGACAGCATGTGAACCAGAACAAAATTTTGTATTTCCCTGAGGCTATTTTGGTCCTTTAGCATTAACAAATACAAAATATACTTAGATTTGTCAGTAAGGTAAGTCGATGTGGTTCTGAATGCAGGCGAGGAGCAGTCCTGTTGAGGAAGAAATAGTTGCTTTTAGATAACTCGACATTTCTGCCTAATAGAAGCTAAAGGTAGTGCTCATGCCCTCTTCTCTGCTTCACTTTCAGGTTGACTTGTTCCAGCTCCAAGTGAACACTCTGCGACGTTACAAGAGACATTATAAGTTGCAGACTAGGCCTGGACTCAACAAGGCTCAGCTAGCCGAAGTAAGTGACGACAGAGGTAGTATCACCTCTGTTATTAAAAAAACTCTTTATCTCCTCTGCTGAAGCGCACGTTTCTCGGATGCTGATACCTGTAGTGACTCTGATACCTGTAGTGACTCTCTCGCTAGTATGTACCGCATGCTCTGCGAAAGGTTTCAGGGGAGGACGCCAACAGAAAGCTGCATGCTTTCTTTCACCTGAGACAGTCATGGAATACAGGGAAGCTGGCTCTTGAAAGCATGTTGTAGTAACTTGCTTTTCTCTGCTTCCTTTCCTTCCTTGTTCATAGTCACAGTCACCTTTAGGGAACAGAAACAACCTGGTTTCCAGTGGCTTAGGTGTTAACTGAAGATGGCTGTTGTACTGAAGCTTAGACTTACACACTACTAGTCACCTTAACCGCCCCGTTAGTTTTTCTTTCCTCACAGACACTTGAACTGGTTGGAATTGCTTCTTATTAAAGGCAAAATCACTGACCATGACTTCAGATTCCTTTTTTCCCCTCCCTTGTCCTGCTGCCTTATGATTCTGTGTTAAGTCAATAAAAGGCTCTTTCCTTAAGGGCCTCGCTACTGCTGTTTTCTCGCCATATGGGGTACTTGTTAAGAAAACTCTCTGTAACTCTTTGTTATTTGGGCTAGTTGTGCTTGGTGTGCATCTGCTCTGCTCTCTTTCCTGACTTGATCTGAAGACGTTGTGTGGGAAGAGTCTTCTCTAAACTTGAAAAAAACTGTAGCAGTTACTGAATGGTAACAAGGTTGTTTTTGTAAGCTGAGGCTTTCACAACTGCCTACCCAAAACTGCCTGGTTTGCTTTTGTTTTAAAGAACAACAACTGGCAGACCAAAAAAGACAGCAAGATACTGTCTTGCTCTCTTTCAAAGTCAACTAGGGAATGAATACACAGAATATAGAGAATGTGTAGTGTAGTGCATGTAGGAGTAAGGTGAGCGAAGCAGGGTGGGTGTATGTCCTCATTAGTAGTTCTGATTTGTCGTGTTCTAACTAACCAGTTCATAGTCTCTCAGCTACCTCCTGCCGTGAAGGACTACTTAGGCAGTTTACCATGAATGTGCCCAGGAGGAAAAAAAAAAAATAAAACTACTATGCAAGCGGAAAATAAAGGGAGCCTAACTTAAAGTTGTCACACACTTCCCAGATTTCCTGTGAAGTCTGAGCAGCTTTGACCCTACGCTGGATCCTCGTCCAGCTCCCATGCTTGAATCACTGCTGCCTGAGGCTCTTAGACTCCTGCTGCTACCCCACCGTAAGGAAAACTCAAACTTCCATAAATCTTCTTGGAGTGACTTATTGCTCAGCCTGCATCAACATCCAGTTCTGGAGCTGTGTTGGGTACCAAAAAAGAGCTTCTTCCATACGAGGAGCAGATCTCATCCAGCTCCAACATGTTTTCTACATTCATTTTCTGAGGAAAAAGCAGCTAATGGTTCAGGGCTTATGCTAGTGTCAGAGAGGGGTAGCCCTAACCAAACCCTAACCCTCCCATTGCAAATCCCCTGGTGTTCCTTCCAGTGAAAACTTATCCAGTGCGTTTTCCTTTGGACTCTAAAACTTTGCTACATCTGATTCACACAGCAAAGCGTTTCAGTGTTCCTGACACTCCCCTTTAAAATACTGAGATGCAGGGAAAACTTGCTCTCCAAATAATCTCGGCATGAAATGCCACTTAGGAGAGGCTATGCTGCTTTGGCAGGAGGACATTCTGGCTTCCAAATTCCGCTTGTAGGTTGGCCGCAAATACTGCTGACATAGCAAGACTATGCTCTGTTCATATGCACATTCCAGCTGTAAAGAGAGAGAGGTAAATGAGGACTGACAGTTTGAATTGGTGCATGTTTGACTAAAAGTATATTACGCTCGGTGGCCATAAAATTGTTTTTGGAAAGTGAAGAGAAACCCTGTTCTGATTATTTCTACTTTTTAATTTCAGAATTTCTGTCTCTTTACATGTTGTCCTTCTAGACTGTCAGTCGTCACTTCAGGAATATTCCCGTGAATGAGAAAGAGACGCTTGCGTATTTCATCTATATGGTGAAGAACAACAAGAGCAGGCTGGACCAGAAATCAGAAGGTAGCAAGCAACTAGAATGAAGATTAACAAGACTTGGAATAAGAGAGACCTTGAAGGAACAGATGGTATTGTGCATTTTAGGTATATAAAAACTGCTGAAGTATATTGTAAATTTTTTTTTAAATGCAGTAAGTCTGGATGACAGAAAAAAATACAGACATTCTTATCAGGAGTATTTGAAAACATGTGCCCAGCATGTTTCTGAAGACTTCTTCCCCTCATTTCAAAGTCACATTGGAATAAAGAAATGAGGATAATGGGGAAACCAAGTAAACCTGTAGGACTGTGGAGTTTGTCAACTCGGTGTTTGAAACCATTTCTGGAAATCTGCTTCTCAGTGCAATTCAGATCACAGATGGCGTTTTTTCACTGAATTCAGACTGCATCACAGAACACCATGCAGTTTGTCTTGGCGCAGGACTGGAATAGCGGCAGAGATAAAATTGATGATTGAGGTGCATGGGTCAGAAGTTTGTCTGAAGCTTGCTCCCCACCTACACGTGCTCTGTCTTGCCTTGAGTCAGTGCTTCAAGTCCCAGACTTCTACAAATGCTCCAGCTCACCAAATCTACTCCAGTGAACACTACTTGACTAGTCTGAAATTGATATTTTTTTTTACCGTTTTTCCTCCCACCCCCTTCTGACATGGATGCCAAACAGCTCTCTGCAATCTCTCTTTCTAATTTCTTTTATTTAAGAACTTACTAATTAATTGTCTGTAAGCATTTAGAAACAACTGCGTTTCCTCAGAGTGTGGTATTAAGGCAAATACAGCTTATTTGCTGGGTTTGATCATGTTGGTAGAAATGCTCGTTTAATTCACTTGCGTGTATTTCCCTTGTATTCAAGGCTCAGTGATGGTAGGTGAAACAATGGCTTAAGACATCTCTCTCTTAATCTCGGTGTCAGATCAGGTATCAATCACAAACGATGTGAATTTTATACTGAAGCTAGTCTTCAGCAGGTGTCACCAAACTGCTGGGTGGATTAGTGGGCTCGGCAGTCTCTGTTCAGTACAAAGCAGACTTATGCTAACGGGTGTAGCAGCGTAACTGGGGTAGTGAACTGACTGGGGCATGATGCGTTTCGCGTGTCTTTGCAACAGGCAGAAGTATGGAAGCGCTTGCCTTTTGTGAGTGTTACGTTTGCTTTCCGAAGAGCTGTGTGAGCGGAGGGTGGCCTGCTGGCGCTCTTTAACTGGGCGCTGTAGGAGGAGATCGCTCTGATTTTGTTACTTAAAGCCAAGGTGTCCTTACAAGTAACACTGGTTATTTTGGCAAAAGGAGCTTATAAAAGTGTTGGTTGTGACTGACTGTTCTCCAGTGACCTCAAATTCTATTCAAGGGGATCTCATGATTTAAAGCACCGCTCTGTTTCTTTTCTGTCCTAACCAATGTCTCCATTCTGTTACAAGATGCCAAGACTCCACGTAGAGAGTATGTTCTCAACAAGCCTTAATCAACGAACCGAACAGTAGAAAACTTTGGCTAGCATTTTGTCAATGGCAGGTTTTAATATTCCAAAACTGGATGAAGCTTTGTTGAAGAGCTAAACACACAGATCGCAATCCCAGCGTAGTATTGCATCATGTTTCGTAAGGCATGAAGAGTTCACGTAGTGAAGCTCTTGTTGAAGCTCTCCCAGGGTCTCTTTAAAAATCAAGTCACAGTTTAAAGCAAGCTGTTCACATCAGCTTCAAAGTGTTTGCTAATACTCCAAAAACATGTTCAACAAGCTTCAACATGTCTAAGTCCTGTGTCATAGGCAGAAATACTCTGTTATGGTACACGTCCCATTTGTGAAGTTTTGGGGAGTGTGATTGTTTCAGCATTTCCTTGTTCGATTCAGTATGGATTTTAAGAAATCAGCCAGGAGAGAGGTTCAAGGAATGAGGAGAGAATGTCTTGCGTCAGTATTTCATGAATGTTTAAAAATTTCCCAATTATGCTGGTCCTTTCCTTATTGAAAGGATGGAGTAATTCCCACATCAGTCAATGTGACCTGGCTTCTCTCATTCAGGACAGATAGCTAAAAGGGTACGTTCTCTGACTGCGTGTTGATCTTTGAAGTGCTCGTGTAATCAGAGGGTATTACCAAGGGAAAATGAGTTTCCGAGTTGAGAGGGTTATGCCTCATTGTAACTTTCTAGACCAAAACTGTAAAAATGTAGTTTGTTTGGGGTTTCCTTTTTTTGTTGTTGTATTTTGTTTTGTTTTATTTCTAAGAGTAAATAAATCTGTTGGGGTGTTTTAGCAGCCAGCAGCAAAATGATTCTTTTCAAGGAAATATGGTGGCAGGTTCCATCTGTTCAGGTGTATTCACTGGAATGCTTTTGTGCAGAGGTGGTATCCAGGAAACTTTTTTGTTTTTTGTTTTTTCTGAAAATAGGCAATTGATGTGAAATGTGATCCTTGTTGGTTTCACTCTTAAAGCAATTATACTTTTTTTGAAGAAATTCTTAGTGGAGTGTGATGATGAAGAGATGTTTACCAGCCATTAGCAGTTGTTTATAAGGTGGAAAGCTTGGAGGCAAGACACCAAAGAAACAGAAGAATCTTTGGCTGTCAGACCCCACGGCCTTATAAACCCTTGCAAATGCCTTATTACCTTGTTCTCAACTTAGCTAGAGCAAAACGCCTTGAGCAAAAGAAAGCCGATGTCTTGTTGGAAGGGTTAGCCGCTTTATGGCTCCCATGCTATAAACTGAAATCACACGTCAATTCAGTAGCAATATCCATGTTCAGGGTGCCTGTGATTCTTGAAAAGCATTTAGTGTCTAATAACCAGAAAACGCAACAATGCAATTGTCGTTCTGTATAATACCATTCTGTGTATTTGATTCCTTATGCTGCATGCCAATTAAAAAAGACTTTCCAACTTTTTGTTTTAAACTTCAAAGTACATGTGTTTGAACCTCACACTTGTGAAGCCATGAGGTGGGACGTTTTCTCAGCACTTTTAGATGGGAATTGTTGGAAAGGTGGAAGACCCAAATCGCTTTGGCTGGTATGATAAGATTTTTTTTTTTTTTTTTCTTTTTACATTTTGCTTTTCACAGATGGGCCTTAAATTCTGTCTAGCTTTGAACCATGGAGCACAAGCCTTGGGGGCATGGAGGATGACCAGATGTCATCTACCATTTATAATAGTGGAAGCTTATTTCTTACAAGCCTGCATAGGTGACATTCACCCTGAGGCAGAGGAATCCCCTTTGAAGCCCTCCAGCCATTATATAGCCTAATTCAGTTACGTAGCCTAATTCAATTCTCACTGAAGAGTTGCATTAACTTCATTAGGCTTCTGAATAGATCCAAAGCCATTAGTATGAAATCCAAATAATGCCGAAACATCTCTTCCAGGGTTAACTTCATCCTATATGCTGACCCTCTGCTCACTTTAAGGGAAGAAGAAGAAATCATTGCTGGTAGTTATTGGCTTGAGCTCAACTGAAGGGAGTTGGAAGCGTGCGAAGACTTGAGTCGGTAGCAATCGGATGGCTGAAAAGTGCAAATATATCCAAGGAGGCTGTGTTAAGAATGCAGTTTTTTCTAAAATTTCTGCATCACAAAGAGTATCGTATGTCAACCTGAAGTAAACAATTGCATTAAAAGCTAATGCTTCTTTTGCCAGGCACTTTAGATGCTCAGCCTGAGAAAAGCAGATCAGGCAGGTTTGTACCACTCGTCCCCAGTACTCTGGTGTCCCAGTTCTCCTTAGAAATGTGGCCGTAAACGACTAGATAGCCTGGAGTGCAGGACACGACCAAAACATATCAAGTCTGGCATTTAAAGTTAGTCTGAAGTGCAAGCTGGCTTCAGAGAGGCTTTGAAATCAAGAGCCAAAATAATCCACAGTAAGTGCGAGTTTTCAAGCGGGTCATGATGGCACGGCGAAGATGAAACAGGACGTGGCCCACAGAGAGACTGAACAAAACGCGCTTCCACAGTTAGCGACGTGGAGGAAGGTTTGTTCTGTGTTAGCTCTTGTAATGGATGTTTTATGAGAGGGGAAGGAGGGGGGAGCTGTGCACTTTACGTCTTTTGGTTGAGCCAAATGTAAATACCAATGGGACATCTTCAGCAGTAACTGCAGTTGGAGGGGAGAGAAATGGTCTGCTGAGGGGACTGTTTATTTAAATTCGCAGATCCTTACGCTTCCCCGGAGCACTAGAGTCACTTTGCCTCTACGGTTTAAAAGAGCGGGTAATACAAGCTGGCCGCCTGTACAAAAGGAGGCCTTGTACTGCCCAGAGGATTGACTGAAGAGTCCCAACAGTGAAGGAATGTTACTGATGCCTCGCTCCTCTTGTCACTGGTGCCCTTTAGCCATCTCTAGCTTACCGAGTTAGGGAGTTTTCGTTTTCCACTTTCAAAGTGCAAACGAACTGTTACGATGTAAGATGCTCCTTGCACTTTTCACAGCTATCCCTGGTCTCGCCTTTTTGACTTGCCTGTGAACGCGTCTGTTCGGAATGAATTAAATGGTTGAAGAAAGCGCGGGGAGAGGAGGGGGGCTCCTGCCTTAAACCTGAACTTCCCTTGCAAGCAACGCCGGAGGCCATCCTGTACATCGGCGGGCTCCCGGAGCTCTGACCTGGCTGAGCCCTGACGGGGCCGCGTTTGCTCCTGTCCCAGCCGCAGCTCTCTGCCCCACAGCTGCAGCGCAGGGGAGGGGAATAGCAGGTAACTTGCAGAATGGCTTGGAGTCTTAGCAGGCTTACTGGGAGAGAAAAACTGTGTTCCCTCTTCTGTTTGTGGTCTCCATGTATTGTGCTGATCTTATGCCAAATGTTTTGGACACCTTGTATTTTTAACTGTGTAATATAGCTGTGTATTGTTAAAGCAACTTAGTAACTTATAGCAAAAACTGTAGAACTCATTTCTCTGAGGTGTAGGAAATGTCCTGCTTCCACTGTGTATAAGACTAACTCTGTACCGTCTGACAAAGATAAAATGCTGAATTTCACTTTAATAAATGATCTATCTAGCCACAAGGCCTACATTCCCTTCTCTTTGCCTTTCTGCCCTTAGCACTGTTGCCTCCAGAGCCAGCGGAGTTTTGCTTTGCATGGATGTTTTGTGCCAGGCTTCTCTGATTCACTGTCGCTTCCCACCCACCTCCCCAGGGCTGACAATACTGCGGACAGGGAGGGGAGAATGGCACTGCTGACTAGGGTATGTCAAGCCTGAAGCAGAAAGCTCAGGTGATGGATATTTTGTGAGAAACCTGTGTGGGTTGCATGGATGCAAATCGTGGAGTCTTTGGAATGCAACAAAAAGACGACCTCACAAGAAAGATGGATGGTGGTGTGGAGCCACGTGACCTTGCATTTTGGAGAGTGTTGGGCTTTTTTATGATGGGGATATTTTTTCCCCCCTCTATCATGACCATGTCAATCAAGTGCAGCATCTCATTTAATTCATGTTTCTTAATTAATCTTCTTAGGTCTAGTTCAACCCTGTGCTTCTGCTTCCTTCTCAAGGACACCCTTGGCTACGTTTCATGCCTGATTCTAGCTCCTGTTGTCCAGAGTCAAAGCTACATGCCCAGCTGACAAGGTGGGTGCTACTCCAGAGCAATGCTGACCTGTAGCATCCCAATGTTCGATCAGTTAAACTACAAGATCCTTTTCTGTGTAGCGCTTTGTTTCATTTCTTTTTCCCATATTGCTCTCCCACCTGACTGTCAGCCTTATAGGCAAAGATGCCTCACTTTTGTGCTGCAGTGAGGAAGCGAGTGATGCCAGAAACTGGAGCTTGAATACTTGCTCTCCTGAACCCTGTCGTGGCATTTCCTAAGGCTCTGCTGGCACTGTCTGAGGCATGCTTTAGCCTTGATTTTTAACCAGAAAGAGGTTGCAGTGTAGCTTTTCAGACACTTGGGCTCTCACAGAGGAGGATGATGGGACGTTGAGAGCTTTACAGTCAAAATACATGACCTGAACTTATCACTGTCAAATTAAATTGCACTGTTGATGTGCAGTGAAAATTTGCACAGGTAATTCCCACTGAAACAATCCCACAACATCTTCTGTGTCCTTATTCCTTGGTGCTGTCCTACAGCCAACTGACCCGTCTGTTCAATTCATGGCAAGGGGTAAGATGCCCTCTGGGAGGAGGGTGGCAGGTTGCGTTGCCGCTGTTTGGTGATTTCCAGCCACGCAGAACGTGCCCGTTCGTACTGGCAGTGACGCATGCAGGAGACACCGGGTCCCCCCTGCCCTGCACCCCAGGATATTTGCTTTCAGTAGCAAGGGAGTGGGGACTGCAAGGAAGAAACCTTAGAGAGCTGAATGTGTTGATGCTTTACTAAGCTGTGAGAAACGATCAATGATCAGGGGTTCTGTTTCAGCCTAATATTCTCTGGGCTAAAGACTGACCTCGATGTATCGGAGAGCTGGGGGAGACTGAGCTGGCACATCAGAAACAGATCCGATGTCCTCAGTGCCTGCGTTTGTGGCCATGTCTGGAGGCCTTTGCAATGGTCCGGGATCTCTTTGTGCGAGGCAGCGTGCGGCCATGCTACGAGAGCGTTGTCCCTGTCTCTGGTAGCTCCCAGTGGAAGAAGGCAAGACGAGAGGTGACAGAGGCGGGCACCACGGAACAAGGAGTGAGGGTGGATCGCTTCGCAGGCCATCGCCTGTGTGTTGTCAAGCTTTTTTGGGAGGTATCAGGGAAAGGTCTTCAGGTGAGGACAAGGGCAGCACACCCCAGTGGAAGGGGAAAAGCTGTGTCGCATGCGTTCCCAAATCGGTGAGCGTGGGCTCTTCTGCCAGCCCAGTGAGGAGGTGTCCTGCCCGGGGAGGAAAGGCAGAAGGGCCGAAGGAGGACAGCTGTAAGCAGCAACCTGTTGCACAGGTGCCGTCTTTAGCATGAGAGGGTATAATACAAACTCGGGTGATACAAATAAACTCTGACGGTTAATCTGTTATTTGTACAGGCTAATGAGTAATGCTGCTTAATCTCATGTTTGCTCCCTGCCAAGAAACCCACAGAAGATTTCAAGCTCAAAACCAAGATCTGCTCAGTCCTGTTAACGTATTCACACCGAGAAACTAAGCAACCAGCAGATCGATCTGATGGGCCTAGAACTGCACGTCCCTCCCTCCGCTGCCTGCTGCCGTGCGAGGGCAGTGTGAGCTCAGTAACCCGGGTGGTGGGTGCTCTGCAGCTGCACCTGGGAGCCCGGGACAGCTGGCGGGGGGACCAGAGCCATCTTCCCACCCCAAAGATGCCTCCTCGGTAGGAGCTGGCCGTACTTGTCAGATACCGGAAGCAGGATTATGCTGTAGCGGGATGTGGAGATCATAAAAATGGTTTGTTTGGGTTTTTTTGGTTGGTTTTTTTTTTTCCTAGTTGGACATTGAAATTGAACACGTCCGATTCTCTGCGTGAGCCGTCCTATGGCCTCCTCACAACATTGATGGAAACCAGGCTTTGGTTCTCTGCTCCCCGGCAGAAAGGGCAGCCCAGAGGACTGGGGAAAAATGCGAGTGTGGATTTAATGGTTTTATGTTTTAGAGATGTGGCTGAGCAGGCTGAGCGTGCAGGGGAGAGCCCTAGGGCTTGCTTTTCTTTTTTCTTTTTTTTTATTTTTATTTCCCCTGTATCCAATAAGAGATGACTGCACGGCTCTGCCAGCACTCAGTCTCACTTTGCCAGGAGCTGGAGCTGATTTCCCATCTCTTATCCTTGCAGGCAGTGTTGGCTTCTTCCCTAAGTACCTCAAAGCCCCCTAATGTGCTTTTACTTAATGGTTTTGGGAACTTTCTCCAAGATCTGTTCCCTTTACGTGTTGCAGGAAGCACTCCGTGATCGCTGCGGCATCCTCAGCAGGCAGCACCAAGGTGCCTGTGGGGAAGAGGGAAGCGTCAGGGAGCTGAGACAGCTCCGCTGCTTCTCCTCCCACGTGTATGGACTGCCAGGGACCAGAGAGCACAATGACGGGCACCGCATTAGCAAGCTCACTAACCCAGCTTGTGGTTGCCAAGCAGAGAGGAGGCTCTGAGTCCAAGAGGTGTGTGAGCATCACTCGTGTCTCTTCCTGATCTTGATGCCTGTGCGGGCAAGTCCGCCTTTAGAAAAGGGTGGGTTGTATCCAGTGGTCCTGGAGCCAGCTCGTTTGTAGCTCAGTTTGGCATCTGGGTTTTCGCCAGCTCCTGCGCCTGTTGAGCAGACGGCAGGCCGGCAGCCATGGCCTGGCAGGCAGCCCTGAGCAATCTGATCTCCTGTTTGGTGGCTTGCCGTCCAAATTGCAGGCCCTTCGTTGGGCTGGGGTGGGAAAAGCAGGCGCGCCGCATCCAGCCCCTCTGCACGGAGATGTGGGGGACATAGCCCAGCACCTTCCCCGCTCTGCCCGGCCGCAGAAGGCAACCAGGATCCCTGTCGGTGTCCCAAAACAGGACTGTTCAGCTCTTCCCTGTCCAGTCCGCCCTGGAAGGATCCCTGTACCCTGCAGGTTGATGTTTTTGTTGTTCCACGCCCACCTTCCCAACAGAACCAGGTTGTTTATTTTTTTCCTGGAATTTCCACTGGTTTACTGGCCATAAACCCTGACTCTCACATAAAAAGCAGAGCCCTTAGTGCACTGCTGCTGGCCTCGACTCACCTCAGCCCTCTGTGTCTCTACTTTCCTGGGGATAAAAAGCAGGTTGAAGGCTCTTCATTGGCGCAGTGGGTACAGACAGGGTTTTTCTTATTACACTAGCGCAGACTACAGTGTCAGGGAGCTGCTGTCCCTTACCAGGTTATTGCTTGTCCTCCTCCCTTCTCTCCTTTCCCTGATCCTGTTTTCCGCACTCCTCATCTGCTTCAAGTCCTTCATGCTCTCCCCAAAGCAGACCAACAACGGTATCGCCACAAGGGCCTTCCCACCTCTTTAAGCCACGTTCCTAGAAATAGGAGCCTAAAAGGGCGTTGGGTGTGGAATTGCGTGGGTTTAGCCCTAAGCAGTTGGCTTGATTCCTGGATGTTTTGTAGGGTGAGTTGTTGGACACAGCAGCCCAGGCTTGAGTTTGAGTCAAGCTGATGAGCTTCGTTGCAAAGCCTGTCCTTCCACAATCCATCAGATGCAGGACTAAAATAGTGGAAGCTCAACAGTGAAGGTGAGCAGAGGAGGGAGTTTCGGGGTTGACGCAAACTTTGTGCACTAGCTCAGACTCGTAACTCCTTCCAGCTTCTCAGTTTGGGAAGGAGCTCCTGGCCGAGGCAATTAAACCAGCCTGGTCTGGCCCCCACGTCCCCCCCGGCCACTCCTGCGGGTCAGTTACAGGCCATGAGAATTTTGTCAAGGTAGCTGCAGTCTAAGGAAAAAAAAAAAATCCCTTTTCCTCTCAATTCCTCAGCTTTCAGCCGCTAGTGACGCCATAAATTCCCCTACTTCTCTGGTTACTGTAAAGTCTTTCAGGGTGGTCAGGACCTGAATTCCTCATGCAAAAGAACAAGCAGGGAAAAAGGAAGCTTTGCAAGCAAGGACCTTCCCCGTCTCAGGGATCCGTCGCAAGGAATCGGCAAGGCTCCAAGCGCGTGCTCTTGCCTTGCAGTCCCTGGGCTCAAGCCTCTTGGGTAACTACCTGTCTCGCTCTCCTCTCACCAGTAAATGTCCTCCTACCAGCCTGCGCTTCCCGCTGGTGCTCCAGCAGGTCCGTCTGGCTCCTTGGCCCCTCTGATCTGCAGGCTCCTGGAGCCGCAGCAGCTCCAGGTTTGCTATTGCACTTTAGCTTTGGAGTAACCAGGAGAGACAGAGCTTGTCCAGCATCACACAGCTATGGAGATGGCATGGAACCCTGCTGAGCAAAGTGCCCGGCTGGTTTTACCCCCTGCCCTGAGCTGTACAGCACTGATCCTCCACCAGATAGCCCTGGCTCCCAGCCAGCTTCCATCCTGGTCCTTAAATCCAGCTGCTGCATGGGACACAAGTGGGCTGCTGTGCCACCCCACGCCATCCAGCTTCACCTGAGGGCCATGGGAGATCATCAGTGGGAAATTGGCAGCAAAGTGTCATCGCTGCCAGAGAAGATGCTTGCTAATGGGATTGCTCCACCACTGAGCAGGACAAGGATGGGTCATTCTGCAGAAAGCCATGGTGAGCACCTTTGCTAACCCCACACCAAGCACGTGAGTCTTGTGAGAGGAGTAAATACTCACTTCTCCCAACACCCTGCACTGGGGAAAGGGCGTTCATGGAGCGGAGCAACAAAGGTTGGCTTTGGAGAGGTAGGGGCATGGGGTGGACGGTGAGGTTGTCCGTTGTTTGAAGGATGGTCTTGGGAAGGTTGACCCAGGGTGCAGTGCTCTTGGTCTTCTCCCAGCACAGGCAGCTGCGTGGAGAAATACATCCTGGGCAGAGCTCAGTGCTAGCAGACCCAAGCAGGGGCAGCCATGGGGGTGAAAACCCAGAGAGTTTGGATTTGTTTTAAAAAAATAAAAGAAAGAAAAAAAAGTTGGAGCCTTCATCTGCCTTGTGGCTCCAGAGTCTTCCCGTGCTTGGATGTCATTTCTACAGCAATGGATTGGAAATGCATCTTCTCTTTCAATGGGTCTCAGAATCACATGACTCCAGAAGCATGGAGATTTGCGGAAGAACTGTTGCATGTCATGAACGTTGCAGCTGAGGGGGCCTCTGTTGGACAGAAAAACTTCCCACCTGAGCAACACTCCCAGGAGACAGTCTGACTTGGGAGCCAGCAACTGGGCTGAGAGGCTCCAAGTGTTGGGAGAGGATCAAAAAGCTCCCCTGGCAGTAAATCTTTCACCTGCCATGTTACTCACTGGGGCTTGTGGCCATTCCTCCGAGGTCGGCCCTGGGTCAGGATTTCTCCTGTCTCTTTGGCCCCCAAACCTGGAGATTTTTGTCTTATCTTTGACGCCATCTTGACACTGAAAACAAATTATGGCCCAATTACCCTTACTGAGAGGGGCTGGGGCTACCTTAAATGGCCAGAACTATCAGGAGCTTCCTTAAGAGTGGGTAATTAGAGTGGGGTGTGGGGTGGGGAGGGGGGAAAGGACTGGGGGGACCCCTGGCATGGGGCTGCCCTTGCCCCCTGGTTGGCATGGCAGGGGGGGGCGCCCCCGCCCCATCCACCCCCATCCCATCCCACTGGCCTTGGCCCAGCCATGCTGCACCCCTGGGCTCTGGAGAGGCCAGAGCAGAGATGGGGCTCCCTGCTGCTCCCCGCCAGCCCGGTGTCCGGGGGTTCCCCCCTGCCCCATGCCTACCTCAGCCCTGTGTCACCGGCTGGGGCCAGGCCAGAGAGGCCCCGTGACGGGAGGCAGCAGCCCTGGCCCTGGCCGTGACCTTCGGGGCGACCTTGAGCCAGTCCCTGCCGGGACTGGGGACCGGCTGTGCCCCTCATCCCAAGCAGGGACCCTTCTGTGCTCACCCCAAGGAAACAGCAAACAGCAGCATCACGGCCAAACCGCTGTAACAACCGACCTAAAACTTAAAAAATGTCTTTTTCTTCCTCTCTTTCAGTGCCATTAAAACGCACTCTCCTCTGCTGCGTGCCTGGGCATTTCTCGCCCAGGGTTGTGCTCGCCGCCTGAAACCAGCAGCTGTTTTGGGAGCTGACATCTGCGGAGCTGGGTCCCAGCCCGCAGCCTGGACCGCGGTCAGCCGGGGGCTGCTGCCCGCGTCTCTCTGCCCGGGGATGGCGGTGCCGGGTGCGGACGGAGCCCGGTCCCTTCCAGGATCCAGCCCAGGGAACGGGGAAGCGGAGCTGTGCAGAAATATTGAATGCTCCCCCGGCCTTGCGGGTTTGCTCCAGGTACCCTCGCACTCCTGGGTGAGCGGGTGGCTGGGTGTTTCTTTCCCTTTTTTTTCTTTTTTTCTTTTTTTTTTTTTTTTTTTTTGTCAGATTGGTATTTTATTTGGCTCCATACTGTCTACCGAGCTGTCCAGTGTAACCCTTCCCTTGCTGCTTCTGAGATAAGAATAGGCTCCCCCGAGATCAGATAAACAGGCCCATAAATACCTACAACAACAACAAGCAGGGTCTGGGCTTGGCAGGAAGGGAGGAAAAAAAAAAAAAAGGCAAAAAAGGAGCCATTTCTTTGCACGCCGAACCCCAGGGGTGCAGAGCAGGGGTGGGAGGCGCCTGACAGCCCCTCTGCCCCCAGCGCTTGCCCCCTTGGCCAGGCGGGGGGCGAGGGCCAGGCAGGGCAGGCGGCCGGGTCCCCTCCGCCATCCCTGGTGGCTGGATTCCAGCGGCAGGGGACACGGCACGTATGAAGTTGCCCCGGGGGCCAAGCGATCCCTGCATGCATGTGCTTCTGTCCAGGCAACTGCAGACTGAAGCCTGCGTGCCGGGAGCCTGCTGCTTCCCAACGGCATCAAGTTCACAGCAGGGTCGAGCCGTAGGTGTGTGCAGGGCCAAATCCCCTGGCCGATGAGCTTGGCTCTCAGATGGCCAAAAATTCAAAGCTGGTGGCCAAACCGTTCTTCTTCCACCCAGGTTTGGCGCAGCCGGCACCGGGAGCCCCGCCGCTGCCTGCCGGAGGCTGCTGGGACGCCTCTCCCAGCCGCTCAGGTTTGCTGCCTGAAGAAGAGAGGCTGCCCCTGTGCAAGGCTCCCGCTCTCCCTACAGCTCCTCTCCCTTGGGGGGTGACCCCATCCTAGGCTGGAGCCAGCGCTGAGCTCAGCATCGACACCCTTTCCCAGCCCCGGCGCAGCGGAGCCGCCGGTGCAGTGTCGAGGTGGGGACGGAGCTCACTGCTTGCCAATACAGCCCTTCCAAAGCGTGCGTTTTGGGGAGCGGTGAAGCCCCGGGGTTTAGTGCTTTTTCTTCACCCACCCTCCCGCAAAACGCTGAGCCAGTCTCGCAGGAAAATCCCCTTTCTGGGCAGGGAAGCCCTCTGCAGCTGTGGAAACGGAGCGTTTTCACTTGCAAAATCACGAAGGAGCAAGGGAGGCTGGCACTGGGGATGCCTTTCCCAGAAGTTTGCAGTCAGCAGGTACCACTGCCAGAGACTGTGGTAAGGAAAGCAACAATCCTGCGGCTGCAGGCAGAGCATCGCCCTGGCCGTGAGCGTGCCTCCTTCCCAGGAGCAAAGCTGGAAACCCATAAGAAAAAGATCACCAGAGGTTTTTGGTGGGGTAGGGGAGGGTCCCCAGGCTGCAAACGATGTCCCAGATGCCCCCGCCTTTGGCTGCAGAGCAAGCCCAGGTCCCCGTTTAACCCTTTCTCTCATCCGATGCCGAGGGGCAGCCCCGGCTGGTGCCGCATGGATACGGGGATACGGGCTGGCACACATAAACAGGATTGGGGCTGGACACGTTTATGGGGTGCTGGATTGTGGTGTTAGTGATGGCTTGGGAGCTTTTCCGTAAAAACCCAGCCCTTTAAGGGATTGTGAAACTTAGCCATAAAATATGATATTTGGGGCTGATTTTCTATACATTTTTTATTCTTTTTTTTCCTTAAATGTGCTTGGGTTTAGGAATGCCCTGTTTTAGCTTCGCTCATGGACCCGGTGCTGTGCTCAACTTTTTATAGCCTGAACAAAACAGCACCACTGCGGGCATTGCGCTGCTCGGGCAGTCAGTTTTCATCTCAGCCTCGTTCAAAGAGCTCAGAAAGCAGATCTGGGGCTGGGAAGGCAGCCGCGCAGCGGCTCCGGAGCGAGGGAAGGCTGATTCACGCAGCCTGATTGTTCTGCGAGATTTAATTATGCCGGCCGTACGCCCCCGATGTTTGTGTGTCCATCTGTCTGTACCTGTACGCACGCACGAAGTGGTTGTAAACCCCCAGCTGCGTCCCCGCGGGTGAGCTGGTGTGTTTTTGGTGTGTGCGGCTGCACATGCACAGATTGATCGACGTGTCAGCGATTTACAGATGTTGCATCATTATTTCTATACCTTTAGTTGCAAGCAAAGGCTTGGTTTAAAATAGAAAATCTAATGTTCCCAGCCGAGCCCTCGTTAGCCCTACAATAACGTACGACTCTTCCCCATCTCGGTTTTCCTTGCCCCGGCTGAGCGTTAGGGTTTATCCTGGCGTCTCCGGGAACGGCGGCGTGGCCAGCCTGGGAATGCAGGATCGGGCCCTGAGCCTGTGCACGCACATCTTGGAAGCCACCCTTCAGTAACAGAGCCATGTGTGCACAGAATAAAGGATTCGGCTTTAATTATTAAGGATTATTAAGGATTTATGCCTGAGAGGTGGCAGAGATGACTTCGGGCTGCGTGAGCTGTGTGTCTGAGGCTGGTGGTATCCGTCGTGTTCGGACGGTGAGGAGGGGATGTTGCTCCTTCCAAAATGTGGCCAAAGCAGCGCCTAAGAGGGGATCCCCTCTGAGAAAATGCTGCCGGTGCCAGAGCCGTGCAGGGAGCTGCCTGGGCAGGGCAGGGGAGCCGAGCCCCGGTTCTCTGCGTGGCAGCAATAAAATGGGGGCTCCCCAGCCCTACGGTGCTCGTGCCATCCAGCTGCTGCGAAGGCCCGATCCTGCCATCCTTCCCCAAGCCAAATACGAGTCCGGTCCCTCTAGCAGGTCTGCTGGGTCAGGAGGGAAGGGGTTGTAGGGCAGGGGCAGAGTTTGTGCCCTGGGGCAGAGTGCGGGGGCATCGCAGAGCCCTGCCAGCTCTGGGGCGAACAAGCATGGCATAAAGAAGTCCCCAAGGATCCCACGCAGCTGCCCGAGCCCCACAGGAGGGAATTCCCTGGCGTGGATCGGCCCCACAGCAGGGCACTGACTTAAGGGGAGTCCTTAACCCCACAGCACCCCTCGCCCCTGCGGGCAGGAGGGCAGGGGGCCCGGCCACAGCAGCGCGATCTCAGGAGCAGGGGAAGGCGGAGGGGTCGGACCTGAGGCTGTTTGCGTAAAGTTTAAATTTTATTTAATTTTTTTTTTTAATTATTCAGTTTTAAATACGTAGTGTGGCGCGCCCGGTCCCTCGGGAAGTGGTCATGCAGATCTGAGGTAGAAAACCCGGCACAGGAGTGTTCCCAAATGCACTTCTAGGTAGTTTCACCGCAGCCACACATCGGTCAGGCAGCGGACGGGGATGGGGGGCTCGTATTTACAACAGCAAACGAATTAAACCGTTTCAGCCCGGCCCGGGAGGGCAGGAGCCGCCGATCGCTGCTGCCAACGGGAAGGAGCAACGAGGAGCAAACGGGGAAGGGGCGAGGGGGGGAGATGGCCCCCGACGGGGCGGGCAGGATCGGGCCCTTCGCTTGTCTCCCGCGGAGCATCCGTCTCGGCGGGGGGGGGCCGGCCGGGGAGCCGGCATCTGGGACAGGGGGGCGGTCCGGGG